CCCGGGGCGGGTCGCAGGGAGGAGCCCCGGACGGTGCGAGGGCGCCGCCGGGGCGTGGGCTCCTGCGGCAGGAGAGCGGGGCTGGCCGCCGCCGCGTTGCAGCTTTCTGGGAGTCCTTGCACGCCTCTGTTGCACGAGGCCCTTTGCGAGTCTTGCAGGCGACGTGGGTTTTCGTTCTCAAGGAGCTTGCTGTCGGATTGGGAAACAGTAAACATAGATGACGTGGGTCTGACATGGTGACAGGCACTTTGCCTGTCGTTTTCGCATTTCGTAACCGCCGGTAGAAAGCCGTGTGTGGCGAATGCCTTGGAAGGTAAAGTGAGCAAGCAGTTTAAAGGAGGGAGAGAACTTTCTTCACATTGGAGTTTGTGAGCTACGCACACTCCTTCTACCTCCCCGGCCGCTATGAATCTCCTTTTTGGATTCATGACTCCTAAATTTATGTTTCTAGGCCAGGTTTTGTCTTGAATCCCAGATTGATATATCCAGCTGCCTAGTCAACATCTTCTCTTGGATGTCTGGTAGCAGTCTTCAGCTTAACATGTCCAAACTTTTGATTTTTTCCTCCAACTCTGTATTTTCTTAGTGTTCTTTGGCTCAGTAAACGACACCACCATCCATCCAGTTGTTAAGGCAAAAACCTTGAGGATCATTCTGTCTCCTTTTTTTTTACTTCCTGTACCCAATCCGTCAACAATCTGTTTGGCTTTACTTCAAAAAGCACACCAAGGTCTAGGACTCAGAACCCTGCTCCGGCCAGCCGCCCCCCGCCCCCCCAAAATATGTGTATGTATATGTGTGTGTGTGTGTGTCTGTGTGTGTGTGTATATATATATATATTTTCCAAATCCAAGCACTTCTTACCATTTCTCCCTCCAGCTGTCCTAGTCCAAAGCACTATCTCTTCATTACACAATTAAAATAGCCTCCTACCCGATCTCTCTGGCTCTGCTTTTAACTACAGTCTATTCCCCACAGAGTAGCCAGGGAGATCCTTTTATTTATTTATTTATACTATTAATTAATTACTTTATTTATTTATTATTCTTTTTTCTTTTGGTTTTTGTTTGGTTTTTTTGGCAGCTGTTCAGTACGGGGATCCAAACCTGTGACCTTGCGGTTATAAGGGATCCAAACCTGTGACCTTGGGGTTATAAGGCTGCACTCTAAACAACTGTAATTAATTTTAAAAAGCCTGCAGCACCCGGTATTCCCAGGCAGTCTCCCATCCAAGTACTAACCAGGCCCGACCCTGCTTAGCTTCCAAGATCAAAGATCCTTTTAAGAAAAATCAGAGCTTGCCTGCTGAAAACCCTTTAGTGGACTCAGAAATCTAGAGTAAAACATTCTGGCCTCTGTGTACTTTTTTGTCCTACTTTCCTTTTGCACTCCCTTTTATTTACTTATTCTGTCCTAATCACACAGACCTCAAACATGCCAAGCCTGGGACCTTTGCTCTTGTTATTTATTCACTTACTCTGAATTACTCTTCTTCTGGATATTCTCACAACTTGCTCCTTCAATTTTTTTAGGTCTCTGAGTGGCAACTTCTCAATCCTCACCACACCTGACTGTTCTTCAGCATTTGACATTATCATTTTTCCTCTATAGCTTTCACCTTGGTTCATTATAAAAGTAATAGGTTCTGATGGTTTACAACAAAAGGGACAGAAGGGCAAAAAACGAAAAGAAAGAATTCCTCTCATCTCTACTTCAGAGGTATTACATGGAGAGTTTCTGTTGTATCTTTCTAAAAATTTTGTATGCATATGCACACTTAAATATGTATCATTTAAAAAAAAATCATGCAGACTCATTTGTTCTGCAGTGTTTCCTTTTTTTTTTACTTAGCAGTATATTTTAGAAATCTTCCCACAAGGGGCCGGCCCGGTGGCGCACTGCTACAGTGCGCCGCTTGGGAGCGCGGTGGCGCTCCCGCCGAGGGTTCGGATCCCACATACAGACCGGCCGCTCACTGGCTGAGCGAGTTGTGGGCGCAACACCGAGGGTTGCGATCCCGTTGCCGGTCCCGGTCCGGTACGGGTGCGACACCGAGGGTTGCGATCCGTTGCCGGACACGAAAAAAGACAAAAAAAAAAAGAGAAATCTTCCCACAAGTAGTACATTTGCTTCCTCTTAAATTGTGTATTAAGTGTCTATTGCTCCATAATAGTTACCCCAAAACTAAGCAGATAAAAGTAGATTTATGTCTTTTGCCATCAAGGAGCGTTTTGACTTGTAGCAGGTGTGAGATATGCACAATTAAGTATAATTTAAAATTAACTGTAGTAAATGACAACATGCTATAGAAGCCCAGAGAAGGGGAAGATTAACTAGAATGGTTCAGCTTTGGACACCGAGTCTCTTGTCACTGGAAGCATTTATACAGAGACTGTTATCATGTCTTAGGGATTCTTGAGAAGAAATTGCTGTATGAAGTGAGGAAGCTGGACTGGGAAACTAGCAAGTATTGAACCACAGATGTTGATAGTTCAGGTTTAAATTCTAGTCCTGCAATTTATTATTTGCTCCCTGGCAACTAATCTCTTTAAGTCTCATTTAAACTTCCTCTTTCACAAAATGGGGAGACTAATGTCTGCCTCATAGCAATGTATTAAAAGAGGTAATGTGTAAAAGGCCCTTAGAACAGTGCTTAGGACAGAGGTTCTCAAACATTTTTGGTTCAGAGAGCCCTTATTTTCTCAGTAACTTTTTGGGGTGCCCCTAGGCCAAAAGTAATACCTAATAGGTGTGTTTCTTAAGTACAGTAGTTAGGCTCAAGCATCTTAAGAAGTAATTAGACCAAATAACTTAGTAGCTGTTTGAAAAAATAATATATAAAAGCTGTAGGAAAATTAATATATTTGTATTTCATTCTTAAATAACCACAGTTACTTACTAGTGGGATTTCTGTGCCTGTTGGACACTGTACAACTTATACATTGGAATCAGATTGACACTGACACTCACATTTTGTGTTCCACATTGATTTTTGCATGGTATTTGCTTTTTTTTTTTTTTTTTTCCTGGCTGCTGGCTGATAAGGGGATCCAGGGGACCTGAGCCCTTGACCTTGGTGTTAGCACTATGATCTACTGGCCAGGCCCAGTATTTGCTTTTAATAACAGCCACCTTTGAAAACCCAGTTTTGTAAAGATACGACATAATCAATAGGTGATGTAAGGTTGAAACTGTGAATTGCCTCAAGCTAGTAGTTCCTGCAGTGCGTGACAGATGTCAAATATCACTACGTTCCCTCAAACTGAAAATATTCTGTGGTGTTGTTGTGAGTTTACTGCAGTATTCTGTGATGTTTTGGAACTTAGGATATAGTAAGCCCTCACTTACTACCTTATAGCTATTCTAGTTATTGTTATTATTATTGTGTTGTCATAGTGATTAACAATGTTAATTAAATTCTCTGATTCCAAACTTGGTGATTTTTATTTATGTTTCTGATATGCTTTATTAATGAAGAGTTTATATTAAAGAATAATGTGTTTGAATAGCTCGGTCTCTTATTTGTTGATTAAAATGACTAAATTTGAAATATTGAGTGTTTTAGATTTGTCATATTTTTTATTTTAGTACCTCACCAGTAATAGATGTGGCAAATATGTGGACACCGGAGTCTTAGCGTCTGATTTGCAAAGAATGTACAGGTAAAAAAATGTGGTTTCCAGATTCTTTTTTTTCCTTGTTACCATTTTAAGTTTCCATCCTGCTTAAATTTCCAGTTAGTTCACCAGTCTATAAGCTTGGTACTCAATTCAGTTATACAAACATTTATCGAACACCTATTATATTCAGTGAGTTGTCCTTACGAGGGGGAACGGCTACTTCTTATCTTTCAGTACCTCACAGTCTGATCAGGAGATAGAGATGTTACTAGATGTTACTATTATTACTTCCTTTTCTGTTTCGTTAAAAAATTAAAACCATCAGGCATGATCTCCCTCAGTGTCCTCTTTTCTAGAGATGTGCCCCTTGTTTAGTCTTTCCACTGAAGATTAACTCCTTCTGTTGTGCCTCTAATCACACGTCTTGTGATATTTTGCTTCATTAATTATCTCTGTTCTGTATGTTTCAATGTCCCTATATTCTTTTTTTTTTTTTTTTCCCCATATAAAGATGACCGGTAAGGGGATCTTAACCCTTGACTTGGTGTTGTCAGCACCACGCTCACCCAGTGACCAAACCAGCCATCCCTATATGGGATCCGAACCCATGGCCTTGGTGTTATCAGCACCACACTCTCCCGAGTGAGCCACGGGCCGGCCCTCAATGTCTCTATATTCTTTTCCTCCTTAGTCTGTGTATTAGTTTTCTAGGGCTTCCATAACAAACTACATACATTGGGTGGCTTAAATAACAGAAATTTATTTCCTCACAAGTCTGGAGGCTAGAAGCCCAAGATCAAGGAACCAGCAGGGTTGATTTCTTCCGAGGTCTCTCTCCTTGGCTTGTAGATGGCTGACTTCTCTTTGTGGTCTTTCATATGGTCGTTCCTTTGTGTGTGCATGTCTGTGTCTTAATCTCCTCTTATAAGGACAGCAGTCATATTGGACTAGAGCCCACCCATATGACCTCATTTTACCTTAATTACCTCTAAAGGCCTTAACTCCAAATACAGTCACATTTTAAGGTACTGGGGGTTAGGACTTCAACATATGCATTTAGGGGAGACATAAGCCAGCCCATCACAGTCTGTCCCCGGCTCCCCAAAATTCATGTTCTTCTTGCATGCAGTACACTCATTCCATTCCAGCAACCCTAAAAGTCTTAACCTATTTCAGCATCAACTCTAAGTCCAAAATCTCATTTAAATATCATCTAAATCAGATATGGGTGAGACTTCAAGGTGTGGTTCATCTTGAAACAAAATTCTTCTCCATCTTTGAGCCTGTGAAACGAGACAAAATGTTACCTGCTTCCAAAGTGCAATGATGAGATAGGCGTAGGGTAGACATTCTCATTCAGAAAGGGAACAATTGGAAAGAAGAAATGGGTCACCAGTCCCAAGCACGTCCAAAACCTGGCAGGGCAAATTTAATTAGATTTTAAGCTTGAGAATAATCTTCTTTTGCCCAGTGCCCTGTCCTGTGGGCTCATTAGGGTGATGGTCCTGCTCTCTGGAACCTAGGTGGAGATAGCCCCACCACCTGGACCTGTGCCCTGTGGGCCTGTGGTGGCAGTAGCAGCCTTGCTGACCCCTGAGCCTCCTTCGGGGTCATTCTTCCCTTTTCTTGAAGTATAACACATGTTCACAGCTGGATACTTCTGTTGGCCCCATCCTATAGAATCCCAGAAGTTTAACAGCTTTCCTTAATTTTGTCTCATCTCTGTCCTCTTTAATCCAGGCTGGCAGTATTTTTGTTGTTACAACCCATCTTTATTCCTGGCTTTTGCCTAGATGGCTGATTGGATACATACGTCCCAGGCCTTTAATCTCTTTAGCAAATTGTTGTCCAGCCACATCCTTAATATTCTCTCCAGAACATGCCTTGTCATTTTTTTATAATATGGGTAGGCTGGGAATTTTCCAAATCTTCAAGTTCTGATTCTTGTTTGCTTCACAGTATCTCTCAAATTTTACTATAAGCAACAAGGAGAAGCCAGGCCACACTTCCACACTTTGCTTAGAAATCTCCTCAGCTAAAAAGAAAAAAAGAAAAAGAAAAAGAAATCTTCTCAGCTAAATACCCAAATTCATTATTTACAAGCTCTGCTTTTCACAAAAAAGTAAAACATAATTGAGCCCAAGTCTTCTGCTACTTCATAACGAGGACCACCTTTCCCCAGTTTCCAATAACATGTTTCTCATTTCTGAGACCTCACTAGAAGCATCTTTTGTGGGTTTTTTTTTTTTTTTTTTTTTGGTGGCTGGCCAGTATGGGGATCCAAACTCTTGACCTTGGTGTTACAAGGCTGCACTCTAACCAACTGAGCTAACTGGCCAGCCAAGAAGCATCTTTAACGTTCATGTTTTTATGAATATTCTGTTCATGATGATACATGTATATATCTAAGACTATAGAAGCTTCCTCTACAGCTGTCCTCTTCTTTCTGAGCCCTCCCTGGAATCTCCTTCAATGCCGATATTTTTACCAACAGTCTCTTCAAAGCAGTCTAGGCTTCTTCTAACATGCGCCTCAAAACTCTCCTAGTCTTTACCCCTTACCCAGTTTCAAAGCCAGTTTTACATTTTTAGGTAGTTGTTACTGTGGCATTGTACTTCCCAGTACCAAAATCTGTATTAGGAAGGAAAGAAAGAAGAAAAACTAAAAACAGTTTTAAAAAAATTGTGTATCCCACTTTGGTTACTGCCCAATATTTCTCTGCCCCTTCATCAAAATTTATTTGAGTGGAAGCTTGCTTCTATCCCCACCACTCACTCCACTGAAATATATGAGTTGCCTTTTTTTTGTAACTTCTTCTTTATCTTATTTGATGGTGCAATCCCCACCTAGCCACTGAGGTTAAACACCTATGCATTGTCTTCCTCCTTCTACCTAGACTCCCATCCCCCCCGCCATGTCTTTAATAAGTCACCAAGCCTTGCTTTGGCTCTTAAATATTTTGTGACACCTGTTCTCTTCTTTCCCTGGCTGTTACTGGCCTAATTCAGATCCTCATTATTTCTTGTTGAGACTACTATTTCATCTTCTAAACATTCTCCCCACATCTAGCCTGTCTAATCCAGGGGTTGACAAACTTTGGCCCTTTGGCCAAATCCTGCCTGTGACCTTTTTTTGTATGGCCATGAGCTAAGAATGGTTTTTACATTTTTTTTAAAAAAATTTTTAAATGGTTGAAAAACATATTTAAGAATAATATTTATGATACATGAAAATTAGATAAAATTCAAAATTCAGTGTCCATAAAGTTTTTTTGGAACACAGCCACACTCATTTGTTTACATATTTTCTTTTCTTTTCTTTTCTTTTGGGGGGGGCTGTTTATGTATTTTCTGTGACTGCTCTCATGCTACAAGGGTAAAGTTGAATAGTTACATCAGAGACAATATAGTATGGCCTATAAAGCCTAAGGTTTGCTGACCCCTGCTTTAATCATTTTACCTCAAATCCATTAATGCTGAAGCCTAATGAGACAGTAGAAGGCATACTGACAGTCAGAAAATTCAGCCTATTTATAGAATAAGTGTGAATATGAGAGCTATAAGTGAAGACTGATAAATGTTCTGATGGCATCTCAGATATTATGGACACAATGTTGTCAGTGATTTCAGTGAACAACAAAAAAGACAGTAATTTGTATTCCTAAAAAATTCGTTGTGTTTTAAAACCATGCAAAATGGCTTTGCCTGTGAGTCTGTAGTAGATGGGTTCTAGCTAAGGTAACTATAAACAGGTTTTTCACCAACATGAATGTCTGGCAGAACATTTGAAAGTCATGAAGAAGGGAAAGTTTTTCTTTAGGTGGAATTTTTGTGCACATAGAAGAATATCCAGCAATTGTAGTCTTTACCTGCTAAATCTCCATAATGCTCCCCAGTCACTGTGACCACACAAAATACCCCCTCAGTTTTTCAAAATGCTCCCTAGGGGTGTTAACCACTTTCATTGAAAACCACTCTTCTAATCCATCCTAACCACAGCCACCAAAATGATCTTTCTAAAATGTGTATTTAGGGCTGGTCAGTTAGCTCAGTTGTTTAGAGCATAGTGTTATTACCACCAAGGTCAAGGGTTTGGATCCCTGCACTGGCCAACTGCAAAAAATAAATAAATAAATAAATAAGATGTGTGTTTAACCTTATTATCTCCCTATTTCATAAACCTTTAATGCCCTCACTTCTCTTTTGTATGTACCTATAATTTTTTCAACTGCTTTCAGGTATAACCTCCACTTCTTCAATGTGGCTTAAAAGCCTCATGATCTGGTTCCTCCTTATCTCCCTGCCTTGCACTACATGTGACAGTAACCTTGTAATCACACACACACACACCCCATATTGTTTCTTCTTTTTCTTAGCACAAGTTGTCGCCTCTTCCTGGAATTCCCTTTCTGCCCAATCCCCTTTCTCCTCTCCACCAAAAAAACAAACAAAAATCTCTCTGTAAATACACACACAGAGCATTAAATCCGCATTCATTTGTCTGTGCTATATACATATACACCCCAAGTTCCTATTGCTTCTTTCTGTTATTGCACTTAACCATAGTGTGTGTTTGTGTTTGTCTTCCCCACTAGGCAGGTTCTACAGTACCCATGTAGTGTCTCTTATTCATCTTTGGAGTCCCAGCTCTTTGACAATTCTAGAAGGACAGTAGGCACTCGGTGTGTGTTGATTGAATTGAAGAAGTCGAGTGGATGAGAGGCTGAATAAATAAATGACCGTCAGTTCCCAAACAGCTTAATTATCACTACTATAAAAGTAAAGTGCTGTAAGAGAGGACAAGATTAATTGTGCTTAATGGTGAGGAGGGCTGACGGAAAGGTTTATTGGAAAGTAGTTCTTGTGCTGCCCTGGAAGACTGGATAGCACAATGGCTTTGGAGAAAGCATTTGAAGCAGTGATTTGTAACATATTGTTGTGTCCTCAGTTTATGTCGTTAAGTTTTCCTACCATATTTTCCTTTTTATTTTTAGACTAGATAATATATTTACATAGTTCTGAAATTATACACATGTACTGGGAATAACTTGCAAGTTAAAATTTGCCAAACCAGCAGGGGGCACACTAATATGCTTGATCTGTGGCTTTTTAAAAGTTACATCTCAAAAGGATCAGGGCCATTGATGCTAATTTCAGTGTGGAAAGGGGTTTTTTCTTTTGTCTTTGTCATTCACATCACCCCAAGATTTGAATCTAATAGACAGGTTTAAAAATAAGTACCAAAAATCTGGTCTGTGGCCGGCCCATGGCTCACTCGGGAGAGTATGGTGCTGATAAAACCAAGGCCATGGGTCTGGGTCTCATATAGGGATGGCCGGTTAGCTCATTGGGTGAGCGTGGTGCTGACAACACCAAGTCAAGGGTTAAGATCCCCTTACTGGTCATCTTTTGGGAAAAAAAAAAAATCTGGTCTGTGGCCGGCCCATGGCTCACTCGGGAGAGTATGGTGCTGATAAAACCAAGGCCATGGGTCTGGGTCTCATATAGGGATGGCCGGTTAGCTCATTGGGTGAGCGTGGTGCTGACAACACCAAGTCAAGGGTTAAGATCCCCTTACTGGTCATCTTTTGGGAAAAAAAAAAAATCTGGTCTGTAGGAAATAAATCTGTGGGTCTTCATTTAAAGGCAAGATAATATAACTCATTTTCAGAGATACTGAAGTTGCTTTGTTGCATTTTAGTGATTATAACTGGACAAAATAAGATAACATATGATTTACACCAGATTGTACATCATGCTAACATTCCTCTTTCACACTGTTAGCATCTAACAGACATCATAAACTTTAAAATTTTCACGAAAGCAAATATTTATTGAATGCCTATTATATGTAAGTGCAGTTTTAGGTACTGTAGCAGATATGAAAATAAGTGTGAATCAGGAACTCACAATCCAGAAGATGAGGAGGATAAAAGAGCAAACATCAGTAATTATAAAACAAAGGATAGGCCTAGTGGTTGGATTAAGTGCTTTGACAGCACAGAGGACATTTTTTTGTCCTAAGTTTCCTTATGTGTCAATATATAATCCTTAGTTTTGATATTCAAATATCACATACAAAATGCTGTAAATTCTTTTTTGTTGTTTTTATTTAATTTTAACTGATTTTATATATATTCATGGGACACAGAGCTGACCATCAGCACCTGTGCCCAAGGTATGGTGAGCATATCAATACTATCAGTATGCCCACCACCTTGAATTGCAGTTGTTCCCTGTGACCCCACCCAACCTCTCCCCACTCCCCCACCTTCCCACTACAACCCTAGGTCTGCTTTCTCCCTCTGCAAGTCCAGCACACCACCGTGGACTTTCTTTTCTTCTTTCTCTCTTAGCTCCCACTTATGAGTGAGGACGTGGTATTCTTCCCTCCATGCCAGGCCTATTTCACTTAACATAATTTTCTCCAAGCTCATCCATGTTGCTGTGAATGGCAGAATTTTATTCTTTTTTATGGCTGAGTAGTATTCCATTGTGTATATATACCACATTTTCCTTATCCAGTCATCCATCAATGGATATTTAGGATGGTTCCATATTTTGGGTACCATAAATAGAAAGTGCTGTAAACTTTTTACACTTTATATATTCTTAGTTATTCTAGCTTTTCTCAAAAAATTAAGTTAATAAGGTTTTTTGTTTTAGATCTTAGTTTCATTGTTATACCTTATGTTTCAGTTATAGTCATAGTTTCTAAGTTATCTTTTTAATGTTATGTAAATGTTGATTGCTAGCTGCTTTTGGCTAAGTCTTCTTAAGTTAACTCTTAAAGGAAAGAGTTATCCTTTTGCGGCGAGTAAAGTTTAGTGTCCTGAATACTGATCCTCACTTGATAGGTGGTTCCTGCTAGATGTGAATGAATTACGGAAGTGTAGTTAGAGACTATTGCTTTTATTTGTTGTTTTGTGTTTTCTACTCATATTTTCTCCCATTCCAGATATGATTTGCTAATAGAGGTATCACAGCTTCATGTTTTACAGTTCATTCCCCATTTATTTATTTATCTATTTATTTATTTAGTGTAGCTGGCCAGTAAGGGGATCCAAACCCTTGACCTTGTAGTTACAAGGCAGTGCTCTAACCAACTGAGCCAACCAGCCAGCCCTCATCTCCCATTTAAATTAATTAAATACCTGATTTTTAAAAGCATAAACTAGTTTGAAAAGAAAGGATCTGTTGATGTCAGTATTGCTTTAATATATTTTGCTTAAGTTGCTTTTTTAAATGGCCATGATTTATTTAGTACAGTGTTTGCTATAGTTAAAACCTTTTATTTTTATGTAGTTTCACACTTAAAGAAAAATTGAAAGGATAGTATAAAGAACACCTATATACTCTTTACCTAAAGTCCCTTTATCCATACATACTATTGTGTCTATCCCATAAAAACAAAGACTTTTCTATATTACCCACTATTTTTAGCAAATGGTCTTGCTAGAAATGTTTAACTTGAATATAATAATGGGGAAACATAAGAAATCCAGATTGTGGGACATTTTATAAATTAGCTTATCTGAACCCTTCAAAATTTTTTTGTCACATACACAAAAGACGGATTATTATAAATTAAAGGAGTCTAAAGAGACGTGACAATCAAATGAGTGCATGAACCTTGACTAGACCCTGGATTAAAGAAAGAAAAACTATAAAGAATACTTTGGGGGAATAATTTGAGAAATTTTAACATGGACTGTGTATTAGATAATATTTTATCAATATTAAATTCCTTTTTTGTGCCATTTGTACTGTGCTTATGTAAATATCATTTTTTACAGAGAAACATGCTGAGGGTTTTTTTTTCTAGTCAAGTGTGGTTGTGGGAGGAGACAATGTTAATTATAAGTTTAACGATAACCCACAACCATCACACCAATATGCTGAGGATTTTTAGGTGGAGTGTCTGTAACTTATTTTCAGATGATTCTTCCAAAAAAAAGAAAATTATTTGTCTATACAGAGAGAAATAAAGTAAATGTGGCAAAATGTTGACGAATCATTACATTAATCATTATATTACATTATTCTTTACGTTACATTTTTCATTACATTACATTATTTCTTTCAGATTTTGAGTAGGTTTAAAATTTCAAAATAGGACCAGCCCGTGGCTCACTTGGGAGAGTGTGGTGCTGATAACACCAAGGTCATGGGTTTGGATCCCTATATAGGGATGGCCGGTTAGCTCATTTGGGAGAGCGTGGTGCTGACAATGCCAAGTCAAAGGTTAAGATCACATACTGGTCATCTTAAAAAAAAAAAAAAAAAAATTTCAAGATAAGAACATTCAAATGGAAAAGGGCTGGGAAAAAGGAAAAAATTGAGAGAAATCACAATCATAAAAATATAAACTCAGAAGTTGTTGAAAATAGGTTTATGACCAGTATGAATACAGTGACATGATTAAATATTCATGCAAACTTATGTGATTTATTTAGATTGAGTTTAATTGAATAATATTGGTGGAAAACACTGTACTAAACTTCTTCTTATTATTTCAGTATAGACTATGGTCGAAGAAAAAGAAATGCTTTTAGGATTCAGGTAGAAAAAGGTGAGTCTTAGTGTTAGAGCTGAACTGAATTATCAAAGAAGTTATAGAAAGAATTGTTTTAGCTCATGCCGTTTTTCCTTTTTGTTTCAGTATTTAGCATAATTAGTAGTGAAAAAGAGCTTAAGAATCTAACAGAATTAGAAGATCAACATCTGGCAAAAAGAGCAAGACAAGGTAAAGAGGATAATGAGTAAGTATTACCAAATGGAGTTTTTTCCCTAAAACATAAACCTAATCACGTTACATTCCTACTTAAAAAACTTTCAGTGGCTCTTCATTGTCACCAAGGCCCTGCATTATACTTACCTAACCTCTCCAGACCTTTCTTCATATGGCATGCTCACTATTCCCCAAAGAGGTCAGCTTCTTTTTTGGACTGTGCCTTATATGGATGGTTTTCTGTAGCAGGGATGTTCGTTTCCCTTTCACAAACCCCCACTCAGTTTTCAAGAGTCAATTGAAATGTTATTGCTTTTGTTAGTCCTTCTTGGACTTTTTTTTGTGTGTTTCCTTAGCTCCTAGTGATAGATATTTGTTATAATAATATTATTATATAAGATATTTGTTTACTTGTTTGCAATTACCAACAGAACTGTCTGATTATCTTTGTTTTTCTTTGCTCTAGTAGGATACCAGATAGAAAGGTGCCAATTAATTTTGTTGTTTCAGGAATACTATTGAGGGAGGGGGGTTATCGAGAAATTGGTTAATGAGCACAAAGAATGAGTACATTTTATAATGATGAATATGCTAATTGTCCTGATTTGATCATCCCATATTGTGCACTAGTATAGATAGTCAACTCTGTACCCCACAGTTATGTATAATCAATTATGTTTCAATTAAAAAAAGAAAGAGGCCAGGTGAAATTTTCTATAAAACACGTGAACAATTTAGGGACAATTTGTCATCATTGTGTCTTCTGGTTTTTTTTACATGTTTTGGTCTGGTCATGTTGATGTACAATTCAAGGTTAGTTCTGACATTCAGAACAAAGAGAGGCATAATTATGTGTCATACTCTTTATTAAACTTGTTTCCTGATTGGGGGAAAAAAAAAGGAATACTATTGAGAGTTTTTCATAACTTTATTGAGGTATAATTGACATACAATAAGCTGTACATTTTACAGTACAATTTGTTGAGTTTTGACACATGTATCTACTCATTAAACCATCATCATAAGCAAGATGCTGAACATTTCCATCAACCCCAGAAGTTTTCTTGTGCCCCTTTGCAGTTCACTTCTCCTTCCACCCCCATTTCCAAGCAGCCATTGATTTGCTTTCTGTTATTAAATATTAGATTGCATTTTCTAGAATTTTATATAAATGGAATCATACAATAGATACATTTTTCTTTTTATTTTTTCTTTGGCAGCTGGCCGGTATGGGGAAGCAAACCCTTGACCCTAGTGTTACAAGGCTGTGCTCTAAAGAGCTGAGCTAATTGGCTAGCCCTAGTATATACTTTTAAAGTCTGAATTCTTTCACTTAGCATAATAGTTTTGAGACTTATCAATGTTGGTGCATGTATCAATAGTTCATTGGTTTTTATTGGTGAGTATGTGTTGATAAGCCACAATTTTTGTATCCGTTTATCTGTTGATGGACAATTGGGTTGTTGCCAGGTTTTGGCTATTACAGATAATGAACATTTATCTTTTATTTTTTATTTTTATTTTTGAAGTTCAAGCCTTGGAGGTGCTTTCCATTCAAAGCTACAAAAAGCACTATCCGGCTTGAAATCCTATGAACATTTATGTGCAAATCTTTGTCTGGACAGTGTTTTCATTTCCTTTGGTAAATACCTAGGAGTGGAATAAAGTGTTTGTACCATTTTACTTTTACATTAGCAGCTTATGAGAATTCCACTTGTTCACATATTGCTGACATTTGGTGTGGTCAGTCTTTAATTTTAGACGTTCTTTCAATTTTAGACAGTAAGTATGATGTTAACTGCAGGTTTTTTTGTAGATGAGAAACTTACCTGATATTTCTAGTTTGAGAATTTTTATCATGTATAGGTATTGCATTTATCAAATGCTTTTCTGCATCTTTTGAAATATCTTATTATGGCTTTCCCCCTGTATTAGTTTGGTGAATTACACTGATTTTGAGTGTTAAGATAATTATTACGTTCCCGGGATAAACCCTGGTTGATCCTGATGTATTATCCTTTTTATATATTGTTGGATTTAATTTGCTAATCTTTTTGTACAGATGTTTGCAACTATATTCATATTGGTCTGAGATGCGGTGTTAGGGTTATACTAGCTTCATAATATTTGGAAAATATTCTTTTGTTCTTTATTTTATGAAAAAGAATTATGAAAACTTTTTCATGAATGTTAGAATTCACCCAGAGTTCATCTAGGCCTGGAGTTTTCTTTTTATGAAGGGTTTTGATAAATTTAATTTTGCTAGATATATGGCTCCTCCTTATTGTCTTTTTTTCCTTATGTATTGTCTTTTTCTCCTTATGTCAGTTTTGGTAAATTGTATTTTTTTTTTTAACAAAAGCGATTAATTTTTTAAATTAAATTTCTAGTCAAATATATTGGTAAATTGTATTTTTAAAGAAATGTGTCCATTTTATCTAGGGTTGGGAATTTGTTGGTATAATGCTTTTTCATGGTATTCTCTTGTTATTCTTTCAATGTCTATAGGATCTGTGGTGATAGCCCCTTTTCGTTCTTTATAGCTGAATCTTTTTCGTTTGGATTCACCATAATTTTCTTAATCAGTTCCATATTCATGGATATTTGGCGTTCCCAGTTTTGCACTACTGCGTAATAAGTAACCTTTTAATGCATATATCTTTGCACACATCTCATTGTTTTTTATGTTAAATTCCTGAGGTGGAATCTCTGGGGTAAAAGTGATTCATGTTTGGGGCCGGGCGAGTGCTGTGCTGATAACACCAAGGACACGGGTTCAGATCCTATATAGGGATGGCCGGTTAACTCACTGGTTGACCGTGGTGCTGACAACACCAAGCCAAGGGTTAAGATTCCCTTACCGGTCATCTTTTAAACAACAACAAAAAAAAGTGATTCATGTTTTTGAGACTTCTGGTAGATTTGGAGTTGCCTTCCAAAAATGGTTGCCTCAGTTTATGCTCCCAACACCTTTGTTTAAAGGACCCATTTCTCTGTATCCTTGCAATTCTAGTTATACTGTTATTTAATCTTTGCCAGTTTCATAGGCAAAAAGTTGATTGTGTTGTTTTTATTTGTAATTTTTTGATAACTGGTGAGGTTAGATATTTTTTGGCTATTTCATATTTTCTTTGTTACTTATTTTTTTCTATTTCATTTGAGAGGTATTTGAATTTTTCTTACTGTCAGAGCTTTTTGCACAAAATACCACCTCTTTTTATATGTATTACAAATGCTTTTCCCATTTTGCCATTTGCCTTTTGTTTTTGTTTATAGTGTCTTTTGATTAGAGAAGTTTTGCATTTTTACCAAGTCAGATCTATTACTCTTGTCATTTATGGATTCTGCTGATATGCTCAGAAAGACCTCTCTTACAAGAGTATATAAAATAATTATCTATACTTTTTTCTTGTTCCTTTATGGTATTTAAGTCTTTAATTCACTTGGAATTAATTTTTTTTTATTTGCTATTAAGGGCAAATTTAATTACTATTTAATATTAATTTACTATTTAGGGCAGAACTTTTTTTCCCAAATGTTGAATAATCTACTTTTTTTTACATTGATTAGAAATGCCCCAAGTAATCCTGATTGAATTTAATGAATAAAAAAAAGAATTTATATCTTAACTATAAAGGCATTTCATAGCATTCATATAATTTTACTTAGGAAAAGTCCTATTTTTATTTAAATATTTTTTAAAGAAACCATATTAGGTAGTAACAGAGTCCTGTAGTTACTTGAAGCTATTAGATACCAATTTTCAGTTATAATTAACTGAGAATATGTTCTCAGATGATAGTACTAAGATTTATACTTCTTTTTTTTTTTCTTCCTTTTTTTTTTTCGTGACCGGTAACGGGATCGCAACCCTTGGTGTCGCGCCTGTACCGTGACTGGCAACGGGATTGCAACCCTCGGTGTCGCACCCGCACCGCGCTTAGTCAGTGAGCGGACCGGTCTCTATAAAGGATCCGAACCCTCGGCAGGAGCGCCGCCGCCCTCCCAAGCGCCGCACTCAACCAAGTGCACCACCGGGCCGGCCCTATACTTCTTTTTTGAAATATAATATGAAAAATACTTTGCTCCTTCAGTCCAAATGAACAGACTTGGAGAGGTTGCATCTGTTTACATGGCTTGGTCATATTGACTTTGTGAATTTGTTACTCAAAGTGCTTAATTATGGCTTGCTGAAATATTTCCTCTGCCTGAATCTGATTCCTAAATGAGACCCTTGGGTCTGATGGTAATTTGTTTTTCACTTTTATTTATTGCTAGGATAAAGATAACCACAATTTTTTAAGCATTTACCACATACTAAGGACTTAGCAAGCATTCATTAAATCCTTTAATAACCCTGTTAGATAGGCATTACTTATTATCTCCATTTTACAGATAAGAAAGCCGATGAACAGAGATGTCAAGAAGAAGCCAGTAACTGATTAAACCAGATTTCAAATCCTGGTTTCTCTGATTCTAAAGCTCGGACTCTTAAACACCATAATATTTTACGTTAGTGTATTTACTTGTTTTGGTTAGTCATTTTTTAGGATATGGGAGAAAAGCCTTTAAAACATTTTTTCCTCTTTTTATTGAGGTATACTAAAAGCTATTCTGATGATGATTCAGATGTGGATGATTACCCAGATCCACAGGTAAGCCAAACACTTAATGGGCCTACTTTGATTTTTTTAAATCATGATCATTCCTTAGGAAATACCAGTAAGGAACTGAATAAGAAACATTAGAAATCTTCATCAATAAATAATTGAATACCTCCTGTGTACAGTGTTGATGACGGATTAGCCATCCTTCCAGTATGTGAGTTTATAGTCAATTATGCAGGGAAAAAGAAGGAAAGAGAATAGCCAGAAGTAAGGGCAGACAGGAATAGAAAAGGGAATTAATAGGAAAAATGGAGAATAGCATATATTTTCTGCCAAGGATCTGGCATTACTGATGAATGGGCTTAATTAAAGGGGTTATAGGAATAATATGTCTAGTTATTTATAACTTACTGTTTTTCCCCATTGTTAAATCATTTTTGAGTTTATTAACAAAGTAATGATGATACTGGCCCACATGTGACCCAGTTTTGAATTGATGAAATGATAGTAACTCTCATTCACTACATTCACTACCAGCTCATTTTCATACTTGCTTGTGTTAATATTTTTAAAAAACAACGACGCTTATTTATTTTTATTTAATCACCAATGTGAACTGGTCTTCCATTAACTTAGAGTGCTGGTGGTGGGGTGCATCTGTCTAAATAGTAAATGTGATTCATCTTATGGTGAACACGTATATATTCTTTTTTTTTTTTTGTCTTTTTTTTTGTCTTTTTCCGTGTCCGGCAACGGACCGCAACCCTCAGTGTTGCCCCCGTACCGGACCGGGGACCGGCAACGGGATCGCAACCCTCGGTGTTGCTCCCGCGCCTCGCTCAGCCAGTGAGCGGGAACCGGTCTGTATGTGGGATCCGAACCCTCGGGCGGGAGCGCCGCCGCGCTTCTCAAGCGGCACACTATCCAGTGCGCCACCGGGCCGGCCCTGAACACGTATATATTCTGACTGTAAATGTTATGAGAGAAATTGTTGAAAGCAAAATGTAGAAAACTTACTAGTATAAGTAATGATACTTTCCTGAGTACTTACTGAGTAATTTATGCTAAAATCATGTTTCTGCCAGTCAGCAAATCAAATGAACAGTTCCCTGCTCTCTTTATATCGGAAAGGAAACACTGATTCCGTTTCACATACTCCTGAGATGGAGCAAAGAGAAACCAGCGCTTCGACACTACGGATAACTTCCAAAACAGGCTCCATTCCTTTGACGGCCCCTGCCAGAGGTTCTGAGGGAGGATGGTTTATTGACAGAACCCCAGGTGGAAAGAAAGAAAGTTTTTTCGTTGACCTATCAGATGAGAAAAGTAATCATAAGAAGCCAATATCCGAGATACAGGTATTTTTGTAGTGAAATTTCAGCCACATATAGTTACAGTACATTACAACCTTTTCATTGAATATAATATCAAGCAGATGTTTGTGTTTTGTAAAAGAGAATTTGATTATTTCACACTTCGGCCATCATTTCTATCCTAGTCCAAGCCTCTACTCTTTCTTGCCTTAACTATTGAAATAGCTTTCCAGCTGGCACCTGTGTCCATTCTTGTTCCCCTAGTTTATTCTTCACACAGAGATATCTTTTTTCTGAGTTGTCAGGTCATTGTCCTTCTTCTATTTAAAGTCCTCTATTGGCTTCAGTCATTCTCAAACCCAGAGGTCTTCCAGTTGCCAATAAGCCCTTTGTGATTTGGTGGCCTGCTGCCTTTTTTTTTTTTTTTTCTTGTGGCTGGCCGGTATGGGGATCCAGACCTTTGGCCTTGTTGTCCAACTGAGCTGACTTGCCAGCCCTATAGCTTTTGTCTTTGTTTGTTTGTTGTTTTTGTTTTTGGTTGATTGGTTGGTTTTGGCAGCTAGCCAGTATGAGAACCTGCTGCCTCTTTATTCTCATCTCCTACCTACCTCCCAGCTTTGCTTCAGTGACAATGGCCTTATGTCTCTGGCTAAAATACGTCTAGCACATAGTAGTCAGTCAGTTTATTGAATTAGTAGTGCCTAATGAACTTACTGAGATACTAGTGAGAGTTAAAGAATAACTACTTTGGGCCAGCCCGGTGGCGCACTGCTACAGTGCGCCGCTTGGGAGTGTGGCGGTGCTCCCGCCGAGGGTTCGGATCCCACATACAGACCGGTTCCCGCTCACTGGCTGAGCGAGGTACGGGCGCAACGCCGAGGGTTGCGATCCCGTTGCCGGTCCCGGTCCGGTACGGGTGCGACACTGAGGGTTGCGATCCGTTGCCGGACATGAAAAAAGAAAAAAAAAAAAAAAAAGAATAACTACTTTGGGCCAGCCCGGTGGCGCACTGCTACAGTGCGCCGCTTGGGAGTGTGGCGGTGCTCCCGCCGAGGGTTCGGATCCCACGTACAGACCGGTTCCCGCTCACTGGCTGAGCGAGGTAAGGGCGCAACGCCGAAGGTTGCGATCCCGTTGCCGGTCCCGGTCCGGGCGGGGGGGGACCTTGGGGGTTGGGATCCGTTGCCGGACATAAAAAAAGAAAAAAAAAAAAAAAAAGAATAACTACTTTGGGCCAGCCCGGTGGCGCACTGCTACGGTGCGCCGCTTGGGAGTGTGGCGGTGCTCCCGCCGAGGGTTCGGATCCCACGTACAGACCGGTTCCCGCTCACTGGCTGAGCGAGGTANACACTGAGGGTTGCGATCCGTTGCCGGACATGAAAAAAGACAAAAAAAAAAAAAAAGAATAACTACTTTGGGTATGTATTACAGAGAGTCAATAGTTTCAGGAAGAAGTAAGGATTGCTGCTGAAATAACAATGTGGTTTATTTTCAGTTCAGGATAATACCTTGAGGGATCCTACATAAATGGATATGCTATGAAAATGTGTAGAATATGAAAATGTCTTTTGTTCCTAATTTTTTAAAATTCAGATATACCATAAATAAGGAAAAGTATAGATTGATGAATTATCACAGAGTGAACATGTTGGGTACCATTGTTAACAGGTTCTTTTTTCATTTCCCTAAGCAAATTGCTTTTTTTTTTTTTTTGGTAGCTGGCATTTGGGAATCCGAACCCTTGGCCTTGGTGTTACAACACCGCACTCTAACCAACTGAGCTAACCGGCCGGCCCTTAACTGATTCTTTTTAATGCATGGCAGAATAAGAGGGGGCTTGAAGTGATCTGTCCCATGGTACAGTGGCTGGGTATGCTCTTGGGCTCACTGTCCAATTTGGTTAGCTACATGTGGCTATAGAACACTTGAAATGTTGCTGCTATTGCAACTGAAAACTAAATTTTTTATTTAAATGTAAATTTAAAAACTGTCAATTCAGTTTTTGGAAAATCTCTAAAAATCTTTGAACAACTTAGGTATGTGAATCTACTTGTTTTAATTTTGATTTTTCATTTAATTTTGAAGTACTCTCATATATTGAAATAATTAATGTTGTGGATATACTGGATTGAATAAAATAGATTATTAAACGAATTTCACATTTTAAAAATCTTTTTAAAATGTGGCTACTAGAATATGTAACATTACAGCCTCTCATTATATTTCTCTTGGACATTGCTGCTCTAAGTGATTTCCAAGAACCAAACCCTTTGATTTGGCAAAACCTTTTCCTTACAAATTATAAATGGGTCTTTTCCAAATCTCTTTGCTTTAATTATCTATCTGTGGAGAACATTATTATTAGCAAGAACATGACTCTTATGTTGAATTATACTTTTTTATGGCTGTCAAGGCAGATTTTTAGTCATATTGAATTTAGTGACTCAGATATCAGATGAACACCAACTGTGTAGAAGACTCAGTGAGAAATAAAAGAGGAATATTAGTGTCCTAAATTGGGGAGCTAACAATTCAGTGAGAGAGACATAGAGACATGAGTCACTCAGATACAAGGCAGATTATGGTATCCTATAATATAGCTGCAAATGCAGTGTCTGGGAGTATGTAAGTAAGAGATTAAATCTAACTGGGAGAATCTGAAAGGAGGTTTTCAAATGTTAGAATTTAAACTGAGCTTTAAGGTGTCAGGAATAGTTAACAGAGGTGAAAGTGATAGGGCAGTGTAATAGCCTGTTTCTGTTGCTTATAACAAAATACTTGGAACTGGGTGATTTATAAGAAAACAAAATTTATTGCTTACAGTTTCAGAGGCTGGGAAGTCCAAAGTCCAGGGAACACATCTGGTGAGGGTCTTGGTGGTAGCGACATTGACGGCAGGGTATCACATTGTGAAATGGCAGAGCAGAGAGAGCTAGACTCTAAACTCTCACATGCTCTTCTTTAAAGCCCTCCAAACCATGCCTCTGACCTCCATTTTTAATCCATTCACTATGGTGTGCTCCTATAATCTAAGCATCTCTTCAAGGTGACACTTTTCTATTACCAAAATAGGATTTCCCACCCTCTTAACAGTCACAGTGGGGGCCAAGTTTCTAATACATAAAACTTAGGGGACACAATTCAAGCTTCAGTGAATTTTGGGAGGACATAATTCAATCCACTGTGGGCAGGAACGGACTTTTATAATGCCCATCTTAAAAAAAAAAATGTTCGCATTATAATATAAGCATGGCATATTTAAATTTATTTTTTTCCAGGATTCAAAGGATTCTTTTCTTCTTGAAAATGATAAAAAAAGGAAAGGCAGGCTAAAGAGCACAGGAAACAAAAGGAAGAAAGAAGATCTTCAGGAGGTAGATAGAGAAATAGAAGCTGTGCTGCAAAAGAAAGGTGAGAGTCAAGTCTTGTGGATGACATTGGTCATTTTTGCTTTAAGAGAAGCATTGCTGTATTCCAAGCTGTTTTGCTTGGGGGACCTTCTGTGTGCAGAAACATTTACTAGAAAATATTTCTATATCTAATGTTCACTAAAATATTATTAAACATAAGTATGAGTTATTACTGAGTCACTAATCTTTTCACCTCCTCCTTTTTTGTTTACCAGCTAAAGCCGGGGGCCTAGAATTGCAGATTTCCAATGTGAAGTTTGAAGATGTTGGAGGGAATGATACGACATTAAAAGTTAGTTCCAAATCAGAATTTTACCTCAAATGGTTATATTGCTAATCTGCTATGCAAAAAAAGGCTTTGTTTCTAATATGAACTGGGTATAGAAAAGGAGACTAGCAAGGTAAGAAGGGCAAACCTGACCTGTACCCTTGAGAGGATTGAGAAATAAAAGAAGCATACTCTGTTTAACTTTTTCACTATTTTAATTAAAGTGTATGTAAGATACATGCTTTATAAGTAATATTGTTTTAACAGCACAAATAATAACGGTTACTGTTTATTTTTAGTATCTGCTCTGTTCCGGTTACCATGCTAGTTGCTTTTCATTATATCTTCAACTAGATACTATTATAGCTTATGAAGTGGAAGCTCATAGAGGTTATTGCTGAAGTCATACAGGAGGTACCAGAGACAGGATTCAAACTCAGGTCTAAGCCTAAAGCCTGTACTCTATTTGGCTGCTTCAAAGAATAGGTCATTTCATTCCACTTTGATTCTTTCTCTCTTGGGCTGTGAAAGACATCTTTTGTGCTTATTACCTGTTAGGAAGTCTGCAAGATGCTCATACACATGCGTCACCCAGAGGTGTACCACCACCTGGGCATCGTGCCCCCTCGTGGAGTTCTCCTTCATGGGCCACCAGGCTGTGGGAAGACACTACTTGCACATGCAGTTGCTGGGGTGAGGCTTGCTGACACTTATTTGTCATTGTTGTTGTTTTTATTTGTTTTTGTTTTTCCTCTTTGGTCAACTTAAACCAGACCTGGCATCTCTCAGGAAGAGTATAGTCATTGAGAACTGATCCTGACTTCATTATTTACCTCTTTCATGCTGCTATTTGCAGGATTTTTTTAAAAAATGTACAATTGTTTATATGACAAGGATTGGGTGGGAAGCAAAATAATATAGATGTGTTTACCCTTTTTTAAACGTGTAGTTTACATTTTCGTTATTTCTCTTTCCCATTAACCCAGTGGTTCTTAAGAGCAGTAAAATAAGAAAACTACATATAGTATTACTTTTTATAGAGCTATATTTATTCACAATTTCCATTCAGAGTCATGTTTTTATACTTTTTAGTGTTAAAATATCCTTCCTAAGGGCCGGCCTGTGGCTCACTCAGGAGAGTGCGGCGCTGGGAGTGCAGCGGCACTGGGAGCACTGAGGCCATGGGTTCGGATCCTATATAGGGATGGCCGGTGCGCTCACTGGCTGAGCGTGGTGCGGGCAACACCAAGCCAAGGGTTATGATCCCCTTACCAGTCACAAAAAAAAAAAAAAAAAAAAAATCCTTCCTAAAATGGTAATAATAGACACTTATTTGTTAAAATAAAAAGTTAGCAACTTATTTTAGCCCTATCAGATTTTTCAGGAACCGTATTGGGCAGCAAAATGCACGATATCCAAGGAACTTCAATTAGAAGAATAGCATACTATACCAATTACGAATAGATTAATACTCTGTAAAAGAAAAATAACTTTTAAAGGGGAACTTGGTTTGCTTCATTTTTGTTGCATAAATCTGTTGCATTACTGTTGCATGCAAGACACTGCAATATAGTGGTAAATACCACAAACCCAGTTCTTTTTTTTTTTTTTTTAATGTTTTTTATTTTGGATTAAATCTTTGGAATCCAGGTATATTTTACACTCATAACACATGCACAATTCAACTCAGACTAGCCACACTTCAAGTGCTCAATGGCCACACATGGACAATGCTCCTCTCAAGATCCCAGACTTGATTTGAGGGCACACCATACCCTCCAGGATTGCAAAGGTTAACCTAGGGCCTAGGCCTGGCTCTGGAGTGGGGGAAGTCCAAATTCAGTTCTAATATGAGAGAGAGACATTAAACAGTCATTCATACAAATTAATGCTGTACATAGTAACAATTGTAATAAGTGGAAGACAGAAGAAGTGCAAAATGCTATGTAGTGTGTTGAGATACCCAAGTTAGTACTGGGGCTAAAGAAGGTATGGTTGAGGAAGTGAAATTTCAGGGTGACCAGGAGAATGAGTAAGAGTCAGCCAGGCATGTTCCCGTTTGTGTTGATCAGACAGCAATAGTTTCTCTTCCTTTTCTTAAATGAGCCTCCCTCCTTTGACTAATAACTGGGTTGGAGGTGGGGAAATGCTAGCAGGGTGTGTATGAAATATGTGTCACAACCCTGCTAATTCCTGTCCAACAAATAAATAACAGAATTGTTTCACTTCAGCCCTAAGAGGGGGGAAACATATCTCTTGAGATTCAAGACTCTTTATTCCGATGAGATAACAGAGTTTTTTAGTGACATCTGTAAAATAAAAACATATAGAAGGTATGTCCACTTAATGTATTGACATAAAACCAAATACTTAAATAATGTTTTTCATTGGGCCAGCACGAAAAGATGAAGTTTCCCAGGAAATTAGGTATTTTAAAAACATAATTTTGAGGGGATAATGGATAAAGGAAGAGTGGGGAAGTTGAAATTTGAGTATTTGATCATTGTTTTACGTATTTGTGCATAGGAACTTGACCTGCCAATTCTGAAAGTAGCTGCCCCAGAGATTGTATCTGGAGTATCTGGAGAGTCTGAGCAGAAGCTGAGAGAACTATTTGAACAAGCTGTGGTGAGTCAGCTAATGATTAATGTCAGGTGTTACCATAAGCATATTCTCTGATGCTAGTATTTGTTAACCCAGTCATTGGTCATTCTTTTGTAAACATGGTAATTGTGATGCATGATGGCTAAATGTTTAAAGTAGATTTGATGATACAGACTGTTGGACAAATAATCTGTTTCATCTGATATCAAACAAATGTAGTTGGTGAGAAGTTCTGAGCTATCATACCCAATAGTTATATATTAAAATATATTATCCTTGTGACATTTTTATTCACTTTATTTCTCTAAACTTAGGTTTAAACAAACAACTTGTAAGCAGTGTGAAAATTTTCCACAGTGTGAAAAATAAAAGCTTTCATAAAAATGTCAGGATAAACTTAACTCTATTTTCATAATTGAAACTGCAGAAAAAAAGTTCTGTTAGTAAAGAAATTACAGATCAGATTTTTATCCTAATTGTAAATTGTGTTATTAAAAATTTGGATGTTTAAGATGGGAAGATGATGTCTGTATCCAATTAGTTTTATCTTCAATATACTGTAATGGTTAAATGTCTATACTTTCCAATGAGAAAGATGGGTTCAAATCCTTGTGCCACCGTGCGTGACCTTGAACAAGTGACTTGACCACTTTAACCCTCAGTTTCCTTACTAGTAAACTGGGGTAGTAATAATACCCAAATCTCATGGAGTTGTTGAGAGTATTGAATGAGAGGATTCATGTGCCCTGCACATAGCAAAAGCCCTGTAAATATTACCTATTACATTATATACAGTTGAGCAGTTATGAATTATCATGGTGGTTACAACTAAAAAATGATGAAAAGTTTAATTTTATGTCTGTATTTCCACCCAAAATATGTAGTGGCTGATGAACCTAGCCAATATAACTGCTAGAAGACAATATGAGATTAGAAGAGAAATTGTATTTTAGCAGTAATTGAGAAAAAATTTTTTTTTTTTTTTTTAAAAAAGATGACCGGTAAGGGGATCTCAACCCTTGACTTGGTGTTGTCAGCACCACGCTCAGCCAGTGAGCAAACCGGCCATCCCTATATAGGATCCGAACCCGTGGCCTTGGTGTTATCAGCACCGCACTCTACCAAGTGAGCCACGGGCCGGCCTGAAAAAAATTTTTTAAATAGCAAGAATGAAGAGGCCATCTATTTCGAATGTTGGGTAGACTGACATTGAAAAAAGGTGTGGGCAGCACAAGGAAGATGCAGAGAAAGGGTGGGACAGGCAAAGCAAGGCTAAACTCTTCCAGCCATTACCTGTTTTCTAAAATTGTTAAGTTGGCATGCATAGCCAGCGGACAAGTAGTAAGTTCTGTGTATGGTAAGCACAATGATGGATAAGGATAAAAGAAACAAATGGCATCTTTAGGTTGTTAGTTCTGTGTTTAAATCTTTCTGTAAATCAGTACTGAACCATACACTGCCTGACAGTAGATGCTTAGTAGATATATGGTCCTTTTCCCTGATGAAAGTGAGTAAAGTATGTGCATTAGAGAGCAAAAAGGTCAAAAAATCAAGTGGTTCTTTGTTGAAAACTGTTTGATTTTTTTAAGCTAAATTCTGATGACCATTACTTATTCTTTTTTTTTTTTTTTTTTTTTTTTTTTTTTTTTTTTGTCTTTTTTTTTGTGACCGGTAAGGGGATCGCAACCCTTGGCTTGGAGTCGCCCGCACCGCGCTCAGCCAGTGAGCGCACCAGCCATCCCTATATAGGATCCGAACCTGCGGCGGGAGCGCCACTGTGCTCGCAAGCGCCGCACTCTCTCGAGTGCGCCATGGGGCCGGCCCAGACCATCACTTATTCTTACTTCCTTTTTTCCTGTTCAGTTTTTCCCAGTCACTGATAAATACTAATGTGCTTGCTTTCTGAGACCTTTTTCCTCCCTACCTTGATTCTTGCAACTGTATCATGTTTCCAGCAGTCATAGGTGCTCTTTTGCAAACACTGTCATGAGGAGGATTGGGGAAGAGAGCCAGCTAGGGATGTGCCAGATATCTTTCCCTTTAAAATGTGGTGGTCCTCATGGTTTTAATATGTCTAGCCAGGCTGCCAGTCTGACTCTAAGCATAATTCTTGTCACTCCAGACCACTGAATAACTTCTAGAGTATAAATCCAGATATTTTTCATTTTTACTGATCCATATCTCTGCTTTTTTTGTGGCAAAATATACATAACATAAAATTTACCATTTAAAAAATTTATTTATTTATTTAATTTACCATTCGAAACATATAAAGTGTACAGTTCTATGGCATTAAGTACATTTACATTGTTGTATAACTGTCACTACCATTCATTTCCAGAACTTTTTTTTGTCTTCCCAAGCAGAAACTGTGTCTGTTCAGCAGCTCCCCACTGCTTCCTTCCCAAGTCGTTGGCAGGCACCATTCTACTTTCTGTCCTCAGTGAGTTTGTGTACTCTAGCTACCTGATTTTTATGTCTTATTCTGTCTGAACCTTTTCTAGTTATTTCATATACTAATACACTGATGTATTAGAACTTTGCGATCCGTTTTTATTCAATGTAGTCTTTAAAAGAACCCTTTGGTATTTTCAGTGTGGGATGATGAAAAAGTTCTTGCGTGATGGTTGCACAACACTGTGAATGTACTTACTGACACTAAATCATACATTTATGGTTAAAATGGTAAATTTTATACATATTTTACCAGAGTTTTTTTAAAAAGCTTTTGGTGCTTCTTAAATTCCTCTTACAGCAGATTCTAGGAAAAACTTGGACATTTTTATGTTAGTAAAAACACTCATAACATTTCTGTTATGCTTGGATTTTCTGATTTAAAGTTTATGAACTTATTGTTCATATTTCATACCATAGCAAATATGTCTAATTTACAGAAGAATTTTAGTAGATTTATCACAAAACACGGATTGATGAAAGACTATAAATGTGTTACCCTATTTGCAGTCTCTCTTTTTTTTTTTTTTCCTTTTTGTCTTTTTTCGTGTCCGGCAACGGATCGCAACCCTCAGTGTCGCGCCCGTACCGGACCGGGACTGGCAACGGGATCGCAACCCTCGGTGTTGCTCCCACACCTCGCTCAGCCGGTGAGCGGGAACCAGTCTGTATGTGGGATCCGAACCCTCGGCGGGAGCGCCACCGCACTCCCAAGTGGCGCACTGTAGCAGCGCGCCACTGGGCTGGCCCCCCAGATGCAGTCTCTTATTGTCCTCTTTTAAGCATCTTGTTTCTCTTAAGTCAGGTGAAAATCAGAAGTAATACACTGTGACGCACTTTCTTTTGGGTTATTCTTTTGGTGAATGATTCTCGAATGTTAAATTTTTAAAATATGCATATTTAACTATACTTCAGTATAGGGAATGTATTTATGATCATCTTTTCGTGATACTTTTATTTCTAGTCAAATGCACCCTGTATCATTTTCATCGATGAAATTGATGCTATTACCCCCAAAAGAGAAGTTGCTTCAAAAGATATGGAACGAAGAATTGTAGCACAGCTTCTAACCTGCATGGATGGTCAGTTTAAAATCATTCATTTTAAGATAATAAATTTTTTAAAATAGTGTAAGTAATACATTATGATATAAAACATTCAAAAAGAGTAAATCTCAAATAGTGTAAAAAAAGAAGTCTTTTTATAAAAGATTACACTATTTAATTTTTTAGTGTGTATCTTATAGTTATTTTTAATGCATTTACATACACATACACATATACTAATGGATTGCTTTGCATTTTACAATACTGGGATTGTACCATACACGTTGTTTTGCAACTTACTATTTGTACCTTAACAATATATCTTGGAAATATTGCCATTTTAATGCATTTTTATTTACTTTTTAACTGCTGTATGCTATTCTTTAGGATAGATTTACCATATTGTATTTACGTATTTCCACATCGACGGATATTTAAGTTGTTCTCAATATTTTGCTTTGCATCATAGTGCAGGGAATATCCTTAAATGGGTCTTTTTGGTGCACATGTATTTTTTTAGGATAAATGCTAGAAATTGAATTGATGGTTGATGGTTATACATTTTAAGTGCTCATAAGACCTGGGAAATTGCCTTCCACAAAGATCTTGCCATTTACATTTCCACCAACACTATATGAGAAGTCTTCCTTTTTCCAGATCCTTTGCAACACTGAATCTTATCAATTGTTTTAATTTTTTGCCAGTCTGATGGATGAAAATTGATATCTCAGTTTTTTTGTTTTGTTTTGTTTTGTTTTTTTATTCCTTTTTGTCTTTTTTACTGACTGGCAACGGGATCGCAACCCTCGGTGTTGCGCCCGCACCGCGCTCAGCCAGCGAGCGGGAACCGGTCTCCACATGGGATCCGAACCCTCGGCGGGAGCGCCGCCACACTCGCAAGCGGCGCACTCTCCAGTGCACCACCGGGCCGGCCCTCTCAGTTTGTTTTAACTTGCATTTCCCTGATTACCATTGAAGTTGAGCATCTTTCCATTTTTTTTGTGACTATTTATATTGATAAAATCTCCAAAAATCCCTTTTCTTAACCTTTGCCCATTGTTTTATTGAGTTGTCTTTTAAAAATTGATTTGAGGTAGTATTTTTAAAAAATATATTGTGGAAACAAATCCTTTGTTAAATATATTGCATTATCTCCTCCCTGTCTCTAATTTGTTTTTCAATTTTGTTTAATGGTTGATAGAAACAAATTTGGAGGGAAGGAATCAGAACCTTTGGAACTAGATCATACCTACTTTGAAATAGTACATATTTTGTGTTCCTTGTGGTTCCAGATTGCAGGTTGCTTATTCTGCTGTTTTGTTTTCATCTAAAATTTTCTTGCCATGTTTTTGAAGTCCATATTCTTAGAAAAATCTTTCATGGCTTCCTGCTGGCTAAAGAATAAACTCTATAAACTCCTCATGACTTAATTAGTATCTTACTACCTTCTTATTACCTGTGATAGAGTACAGCCTCAGACTCCCTGCTGTTAATCCTGGTTCAGTTGAGAGAAATAATACTTAGGAAAGAAAAACTTGAGTCCCTGCATTCTGTCCATTCCTAAAAATTTATCTCTAGATTAAGCCAGAGCAGCTGAAGACTATACTGTATCCCCATCACACATTAATCTCATCAGTCTCTTCTGAGACACACACTACCTTGTCTTCCTCAGCTCCCTGTTGTTGGACTGATCACCCTGCCTGTATGTACCATGCATGTTCGAATGGCTGTGCATTCACACATACTATTTCTTCCATGTAGAATTCCATGAACATGTACCTCTGCTTATTAAAATCATATTCACCCTTCAAGGCTTTTCTGAAATGTTACCTCCTCCATGAACCTTCCCTCATTCTTCTGTTGGAATTCATAATATCTTACCTGTATTACATGGTGCTTTGTTTCTACCCATTATTATATTTCACAAAACTTGTCTTAGGCCTTTTTTTCTTAATTACACACTTAATGTTTCTCAATAGGTTGTGAACTGCTGAGGACAAAGTTAGTATTTTATTTATCTTCCTCACACCTTTTACATATTAGACATTTAATAAATATTAGTTTTATATATACAGGTGTACCTTGGAGATATTGTGGGTTCAGTGCCAGCCCACTGTAATAAAGCAAATATAGCAATAAAGCAAGTCACAAATTATTTGGTTTCCCACTGCTTATAAAGTTATGGTTATACTATACTGTAGTCTGCCAACTGTACAATTGCAATATGTCTAAAAAAATAATGTACGTACCTTAATTTAAGAGTACTCTTGCTAAAAAATGCTAATAATCATCTGAGCCTTCAGTGAGTCATAATCTTTTTGCTAGTGGAGGGTCTTGCACTGATGTTGGTGGCTGCTGACTGATCGAGGTGTTAGTTAGGGTGGGCAGTGGTAATTTCTTAAAATAAGATAGCAGTGAAGTCTACATTGACTCTTCCTGTCATGAAAGATTTCTCTGTAGTATGCAATGCTGTTTGATAGCATTTTACCCACAGTAGAACTTGTTTCAAAATTGGAATCATTCTTTGCAGACCCTGCCTCTGCTTTATCAACTCAGTTTATGTAATATTCTAAGTCCTTTGTTGCCATTTCAACAGTGTTCACAGCATCTTCACCAGGAGTAGATTCCATCTCAAGAAAAAACTTTCTTTGCTCATCCATAAGAAGCAGCTCTTCATCCATTTAAGTTTTATCACGAGATTGCAGCAATTCAAACGCATCTTCAGGCTCCACTTCTAATGCTAGTTCTCTTGATATTTCCACCCCATCTGTTGTTACTACCTCCACTGAAGTCTTGAACCCCTCAATGTCATCCATGAGGGTTTGGAATCAACTTCTCCCAAATTCCTGTTAATGTTGATATTTTGATCTCTTCCTGTGAATCATGAATGTTCTTAATGGCACCTAGAATGGTGAATCCTTTTCAGATAGTTTTCAATTTACTTTGCCCAGTTTCATTAGAAGAGTCCTTATCTATGGCGACTATAGCCTTACGAAATGTATTTCTTAGATAAGATGACTTGAAAGTCAAAATTATTCCTTGATCCATAGGCTGTAGAATGGATGTTGTGTTACCAAGCATGAAAACAACATTAATCTCCTTGTACATCTCCATCAGAGCTCTTGGGTGACTAGGTGCATGCCCAGTTTAGCAATATTTTGAAAGGAATCTTTTTTTTCTGAGCATTGGGTCTCAACAGCAGGTTTAAAATATGCTATAAACAGATGGCTTTGTTGTTACATTTATGGAGCATAGGCAAAGTAGATTTAGCATAATTCTTAAAGGCCCTAGGATTTTCAGAATGGTAAATGAACATTGGATTCAACTTAAAGTCACCAGCTGCATTAGCCCCTACCAGGAGAGTCAGCCTGTCCTTTGAAGCTTTGAAGCCAGGCATTGACTTCTCCTCTCTAGACATGAAAGTCCTAGATGACATCTTCTTCCAGTAGAAGGCTGTTTTGTCTACTTTGAAAAATCTAGACACCACCTAGCATAGACACCTTTGTCAATGATCTTAGCTGGATCTTCTAGGTAACTTGTTGCAGCTTATATATTAGCACTTGTTGCTTCACCTGGCACTCTGATCTTATGTAGACAGCTTCTTTCCTTAAACCTCATGAAACAATTTCTACTATTTTCAAACTTTTCTTCTGGTACTTCCTTACCTCTCTCAGCCTTCACAGAATTAAAGAGAGTCGGGGCCTTGCCCTGGATTAGATTTTCACTTAAGAGAATGTTGTGGCTGGTTTGATCTTCTATCCAGACAACTAAAACTTTCTCCATATCAGTAATAAGGTTGTTTTGCTTTCAAATTATTTGCTGGAGTAGTGCTTTTAATTTCCTTCAAGGGCTTTTTCTTTGCAGTCACAACTTGGTTATTTAGTGCAAGAGGCCTAGCTTTTATTTTTCGGCTTTTGACATGCCTTCCTCACTGAATTTAATCATTTCTAGCTTTCGATTTAAAGTGAGAGATGTGTGGCTCTTTCACTTGAACACTTAGAAGCCATTGTAGGGATATTAATTGACCTGATTTCAATATTGTGTATTTCAGGGAATAGGGAGGCCCAAGGTGAGGAGGAGAGACAGGGGAATGGCTGGTTGGTAGAGCAGTCAGAGCACACACAACATTTATCAGTTAAGATCACTGTCTTACATGGATGCAGTTTGTGGTGCCCTAAAACAGTTACGATAATAGCATCAAAGATCACTGCTCACAGATCACCATAACAGATTTAACAATAATTTAGAAGTTTGAAATATTGCGAGAGTTACTAAAATGTAACACAGACAAAGTGGGCACATGCTTGATGCAGGCTTGCTTGATGCAGGCTTGCCACAAACCTTCAACATGTATAAATTACAGTATCTTCAGAGCACAGTAAAGCAAAGGGCGGTAAAAAGAGGTATCCTTGTATATTGCCATCAAAATGTATCCTTTCTCTAATGATTCAATGATTAATGTAAGCATTATTACCCTCAATGTCAAGTGTCTTGTTCAACTCTTGTTGTGTTTCTGGTTCTTACTAGATCTAAATCATGTGGCTGCTACAGCTCAGGTCCTAGTTATTGGAGCTACTAACCGACCAGACTCATTAGACCCTGCTTTGAGACGTGCAGGAAGGTTCGACCGAGAAATATGCCTAGGTATACCAGATGAAGCATCCAGGGAAAGGTATATTCTTATAGAATGAACTTTGTATGCCATTAACTTTTCTGAACTGAATGCTTTGAAAGTAAGGGGTGAGAAATACCACGTAGCCTTTTTTTCTCTTATTGTTTCTTTTTGTACCAGTGAAATTGATTTGGAAAGGAAAAAGTCCACATTAATATATGGTTAAGAAAACAATTTATTCATCAATAGGATAATTGCTTTAGGTTGTTTTTTTTCAGTAGTGATAGTGGACTTATGTATCCATACTCATTTACCTTATTAACAATGGCTTGTATTTTTTAGTTGGCTGACCAGCTTAGGAACAGGGCCTAGAGTTATGGAATAGAGCACTGCCATCTGGTTCACTTATAGGTTAAATCTGAGTACCACACCTTAACCTATTATCCTGCCTAAGACCACAGGCCCTGTGACAAATAATGAGATGGCAGCAGAGAGTCAAGAGCTATCAGTGTTTGCTGCAGGACCAGCTTTCCTAGTAATTGGGGTTGCATGTCCATAGTGCAAATAAATATCCACCAATATATAAAAATATATAAAAATATAACTTGATAACCAAAAATATCTCAGGAAGAATTGTTCAGGTAATGGCGTAGAATCTAGTTAAGAAATGTTCTGAAATGTCATATTTACAATGGCTTTTGGCTTAAGTTAATGACACTAAAGCTGGTATACATGATTGCCAGCAGCTTTTAGGAAAAGTGGTAAATATTGAAAGGAAATAGTTATAGGGACAATGAAAAAGGGGAAAGATGGAGAAAAAGAAAATTCACGAATGACCAGAAAGCACTATGGGTGGGAAAAATGCTCCACAGGGTGGAGCCTGTGCCATCTTTCCCTTCTTCCCAGTAGTTGATGTATCTTCGCCTTTTGATTATTTGGCAATTTCTTCTTAAGCTATTCAATTCATGGTTATTTATATGTGCGCTAATTACATTCTCATATATATGTGTATGTGTGTGTGTGTGTGTGTGTGTGTAAATATATAAATATATACTCTCTTTAGTTACTCAGCCATCCAGGTTTGTTTACTAACATGTTTATACCTGCAGCAAAATAATAATATTTAATATTTAAGTTGCTGTTATTATTCAGCAAACATATATAGAGCATATAGTAAGTATATATACCACTGCGGTAAGTAATGTGAGGCATGTAAAGAATTATAAGTCCCTGCTTTCCAGGTGCTTACAATTCAGTAAGAGAAATAAGGCCAGTATTCATTAATTGAGAGAACTATTGTTTAAGCACCTGTAGTATACCAAGGAGGCACAGTACTAGGTGATACAGACTCTACTTTGAGTAATCAGAAGCGTGATGAATACAAAAGGTCAAGGACAGGGTCTTCAGGAGTGTGCATCAAGTGACACCATCATAGTCTGGATGTTCTGAAAGGCTTCCCTGAGGTTGCTGAGACTTGAATAATAAATAGCAATTAATTGATCACATGATGGTGAGAGTATTCCACAGAGGAATAGCATGCGTAAAGGCACTGAGGCGACTGAGAACTCAGTATGTTCAGGAAGCTGGAAGAAGAACAATGTGGCTAGAGTTCAGAGAGCGCAGAAGAGACATGGTAGAGAGGACAGGCTAGAGAGACATACAGAAGCAGTTCACATATACCTTGGTAAGTATTTCAGACTTATGTGAGTGCTGGCAAAGGATTAAAGCAATTAAATTAAGCAGGACAGTGTTGGAAACAGATTTTTGTTATGAAAACCTCACTGTAGCCGCAGTGTGAGGAATGGATGACAGGACAGCGAGAATGGATCAGGTAGCCCAGGGAGGAGGTTATTGTGGTATCCAGAGGTGATGTTGGGTGGGCTTAGAAGGTAGGAGTATGTACAGAGACAGCTGGAGTAATCTGGAGACATTTAGGAGGTAGACTCAGTGTTGTGTTTATCAATAGAATATATGCCTGGGGAGGTGGGAACTGTCAGGCAGTGTTTAGGACCGAGGGATAGCAAGAGGGAAATATTCTCAAGTTTCTGACTTAAGCATATGTGTGGACGGTATCCTTTTGAGGGGATGGGACATACTAGAGGATAAGCTGGTTGCAGAGGGGGATTTGGGGATGGATGGAGACAGTAAGGTCAGCTGAGTTAGAGGTACTTGTGGGATGTCCAGCGAGATGTCAAACTGGCAATTGGACAAACAAGTCTGGAGTTCCAAGAAGGTAAAGATTTGGGAGTCACGAGTGTATTGATGTCAGTTGAAGTTATGAAAGTAGATGAGATTGTCCAGAGAGTGTGAAGAGTACTCATTCAGGCTGGGACAGGCTCAAAGAGGCTAACAGGCTAGGTATATAGAAGGAGCAGCCAGAGTATTAGGAAAGCAAGAGAATGTTGAATAATGGAAGCCAAGGAGGAATGAGAAGTCATGCTAGTGAGAGGTCAAGCAAGCATGGGCTGAAAATTTGTGTTTTGAATTTAGCAACCTTCAGGTCACCAGTGACCTCAACAAAATGCTGTTTGATTAGAATGATGATGGTAAAATCCAGGTTGGAATGGTTGAGGAATAAGTAGGAAGTGAAGAAATTAGAATGGCAAACTCCCACAATTGAGTTAAGGGAAGCTGGCTGTGAAGGAGAGAGGAGATAAGGTGGGCGCTGCCTGTGGTAGGCAATGGGTTGTCAAAAGGGAAACTTTTTTTAGGATAGGAGAAGCTTGCGTATGTTGAAGTGTTGATGGGAAAGAGCAAATGGGAACAATGGGAATTCAGAGCTTATGTGTAAGGTATTGGCCTTAGAATGAGGGATACTTCTGTTGAAATGACAGTAAAGGGGGAAGGAGGGTCTGGAGGTGGCAAGTAGGCTTATCAGTGTGGTAATGGAAAATTGAGAGTGTTTTCTCTGTGGAGTAGAAAGTGAGATTATCTGATGAAAGGGAGGATGGATTTTGGATGGTTAGAGATTTGAGGAGGATGAGGGTCTGACATTATTTTCTTGGATTAATTTGAGATGAGCTGACTAGAATAACAGTAGGATTGTCGGGCAGTGGTTAGGATTAAGGTATAGAACAGCACCAGTAGGCCTGGTTTTATGATTTTCCTTCCCAAGTAATCCTCAACTGTGTAGGTCCAGGAAAGGAAGAAGTAGAGATTTAAAATTTAGGTTAAAAAGAAAAAAGAAGAAAAAAAACAAGACCATGGACTCTACGCTGTAAAAATAGTGTTTAGAACCTAGTGAGGTGCAAGCAAGGACAGGCATGTAGAAGCACTTGAGCACATAAGCTAGAAGGTAGGAGACTCTGGGCAGAGTGAGATGTTTGAGAGAGTGATTTCAGAGGCGGACCAGATCAAGGTGATGATAAGGTCCAGGGTGTGACAGCAAGATAAATGAAGTGGGGAAGTGGTCAGACATGGGTGGAACAGGGTGGAGAGGCAATGAGCAGGTGCCAGAACTTAGTGGCAATGAAGAAGTTATCCCAGCTCTGCCTCATATTATCTTGTGCCTTGTTCTAGGTATTTAACATTTCCAAGCTTCAGTTTATTCATCTGTAAAATGGTAATAATGCCCTAGCTTAAAGGCTTTTTATGAAAATTGAATTAATGTAACCCAGCACAGTGTCTGAGACATAGAAATCCCCCCCACACACACACAGCTGAAAGATGACCGGTAAGGGGATCTTAACCCTTAACTTGGTGTTGTCAGCACCACGCTCTCCCAAGTGAGCCATGGGCCAGCCCCTAGAAAATTTTCTTTAAAGGAAGCTATTGATATTTTTCCAAACCTTAAAAGCATTTTATTGTGGAAAACTTTTGGTGTACACAAAAGGAGACCCATATAATTGTTCCAGTTCCAGTTGCTGAAAAACAAACCACCCCAAAATTTAGTGGCTTAAAACAATAATCATTTTGTTGTCTGTCACAATTTCTGTGGATCAAGAATTTAGAAGGACCTCAGCTAGACGGTTGTCTCAGGGTCTCACATGGTTTCAGTAGCTGGAGCTAGAACATCGTGGGAGGGCCGGCCCGGTGGCGCACTGGAGAGTGCGCCGCTTGGGAGCGCGCTGGCGCTCCCGCCGAGGGTTCGGATCCCATGTGGAGACCGGTTCCCGCTCACTGGCTGAGCGCAGTGAAAAAAAAAACATCGTGGGAGTTTAGAGTGGTGAGGTTATGCATATCCATCTACCTATCTGATCTTTCTTGTCTATCTGTATGTCTACATCCGATCTAATTTCTCCCCGTCCTTTGTCTTCTGGTCAGCTCAGGTCCTCTCCTTGCGGGACCTTTGGGCTTCCTCATAACCAGGCAGTCTTGGGGTGATAGGATGCTTACATGGCAGGTCGGCATTAGGGTTCCAGTGAACCAGGCTGAAGCGGCATTCCTTGTTTTGACCTAGCCTTAGAAGTCACAAAGCATCAATTCACTATACCAGACGTTGATCAGTCACTAAAATTGGCCCAAATTCAAGAACAGACTATATAATAGTCTCCTCTCCCTTTTTTTTCCCTCCGTGCTATTTTATTTGTGGAAGAAAAACCAGGTCACTGTCCTGTAAAATTTCCTACTTTTCTGGGTCTGGCTGATAGCATTCTTGATGTGTCATTTAACTTGTTCTTTTATTCCCTGTATTTCCTGTAAACTGGATGTTAAATATAAGGGTTTGATTAGATGAGTGTTTTACCCTTGCAGCAAAATCCTTCCTGAGGTGCTGCTGTGTACTTAGTGTGCATCACGTCAGGAGACTCAAAAAATAATGTCTGTTGTCCCATTTGTAGTTATGTTAATATTGGTCAGTGAGTTTAAGTATTTTTTGAATCCTTTGGTTTTTACATCACTAACCAGAATTTTCGAGATTGATAAAATCTTGGGTGAAATGGCTATAAAAAATGCAAAGAAGGCTTGGACTTCTTTTCAGTAACTTATTTCAAGCCACATTTGGGAAACCTAAGAAGTTTTAATTTCTGAATCTGCATATTTTGGGACCCTACACCAGTGGTGGTCCATAGATAAAATGATGCTTCTTCACACTAATGCTTATAAAACACTCTTAATGTATG